GAGTCATATACATTCACTACATCTCTTGTAAGTGTCCTGTATACACACTGATATGTGAGAGACTATATCCATAGTACATTTTTAAAAAATGAAATCTTTCACTTTTATCTGCTGGCTAATCTTTTTATGACTGAAGATTAGAGAACAAAGTTCTAATTAATATTCTCTATAATTATTTTTATCACACTTTAATGAATCTCCATCTACAAATTTATATATTGGACTGGGTGAAAAGGAATTTGAACTTTGGTTCAAAAGAGTTGAAGTTCAGATTATCTCTCTTCTCTGTCCTGTAAATCCACTCAGAATGGGTATTGACTATTCTGAAATTTTTTATGTAAATTGTCACAGCATATTTGTCTGAGTTGTTTTGTTTGCCAATTGAAAGTCTAAAGATTGAATCAATTTGAAACAAGTCATAAGGAATATAAACAGTAAATGAGGAGAGATTTGAAATTTCCAGCCTGGATAATAAATACCATGTGTAGTGCTTTTCTTCAGCATTTTCTGATTCAGTTTGTGTCTGACATACTTTTTCTTACACTCCAATTTCACTTTGAAAAGGTCCAGAGAAGGGAAATGAAGACTTTTACAGGCACGATGAGACACAGAGAAAAAGAGGTGACACAAACCAGAATAACTGAGCCTGGAAAGAAGCATTAGAGAGGACTTGACTGAGATATTTAAAGATATAAAAGGTAGTCCCTTCATAACTGGATCAGTCCCTTCCTCTCTACATCCACTAAATAATATCAGAAGAACCAAGAGGTTACTCAGTTATTTTAAATGGTCAGTAATTTAGAATAATTAAAGGAAATTATACTTTATGGAGCATATATGATGTGTGTGTGGCATTTCTGGACATCAGAAGCGACAGTCAAATACCATGAAAAGATATTAAGAGTTGGATAAGTCTGATCAATAACTATAACTGTACATGCTAAAAGAACACAAATTACCTGTTATGTGTATGCCGATCACTACAGAGGTCAGGAAGGAATCATTCTCCCTATTCCCCATCTCGATAAAGCACTGCACACTTGGTTAGATGTACTGGGTTACCCAGAGTGCTGTAAATGTACAGAAGTACATAGAAAGATTAGTTCTCTGTCTGGAAGAGCTACCAATCTAACCTGAACAAGGCATGGGACAAGAGCACCCATGGGACAGTGCAACGGATTTGAAGTGGGGCTTCGAAGGAGGAAGGGGATGTGGAAAGTTTTTTTTCCCAAGCATAAGGGATGGCATGACAGATGATGCAAAATCAAGTGAAAGAAGATAACAGAGTGAGCAAGTAGGAGAGAGGGTAAGAAGGTAAAGTAAGGAGGTTTTGGAGTATTTTCACTGTCCTTTGAAGCATCAGATATTAGTCATTTCTAGAAGCAGGATGCTTGACTGGATATACCCAAGTGCTTCTTCTGTCTGGCAAATCCTATGTTCTTATAATGACAAATATTAATTATTAGTTGATAGTCCTGGTTTTTAATGTAAAATTGTACAAATATAATTAAAATATAATCTAGGGGTCAGTTACATTGGTATTCATCTATAGTAACTCCACTGTCTTTAATGGAGGTATTCTAGATTTATATTGCTGTAAATGAGAATCAAGCCTCGAGTGAATACCTGATTTGTTTCCTAGATTACACTGATATAGTTTGTTGTTATCTGTGTGGATAGCCATTGCCAATGTTCCTGTGTCGGTTTACTCTATCCTTCTCTTACCCTTAACTTTTAAAGTTCTTTTTATGTTAGCAATGCTACCACATGCTTTGTGTGAGTGTTGGCTCTGATCTCTTTGGAGAAACCACTTGTACAGGAAATGGGATTGTCTTTTGAGATTTATTTTAAAGTTATGATGATGCTGTATATGTAATTTTTAAAGATAAAGTAAAACCAAAATTTTAATATTGAACTATTCAGTATTCTTATCTTCTGTGCAAGGACTTACAGCTGCAATTTCCCCACACGTTAAGACCAATGTACCCAAAAGTCTTTCTGCAAATTCACTTGTGCAAATAAACATGTAGATAAACAATTTTTTTGGTTCATTCAAAATTGACTGGTTGGCTCACATGTATTTTATAGGATTGTATATTAGCAAGTTGAATTATGATGTTCCAATCAATTACACTTATAAGCTTTTATAAAAAGAAACACCTGTTCTGGTCTTCATTCAGGCTTTGGTTACATATTTTACTCAATTGTGCTTTTTTTGGACTTCTAAACTCAAGTGTGTGTATTTTGAAATGGTAAAGTAAAATATGAATCATGCTAGTAATTCAACACCTAAATCTTAAAGTGACTAGCATTTTTGGATGACTTGATTTTTTTATGTACAAGTTGACACATCTTAGAATAGAATATCAGGGTTGGAAGGGACCTCAGGAGGTCATCCAGTCCACCCCCCTGCTCAAAGCAGGACCAATCCCCAATTTTTTCCCCAGATCTCTAACTGGCCCCCTTAAGGATTGAATTCACAACCCTGGGTTTAGCAAGCCAATGCTCAGTCCACTGAGCTATCCCTCCCCCCGAAGGGGCCTAATTTTCAGAAGTGCTGAGCACCTGCCCTCTGAAAATCAGGCCCCTTAAAGATCCAGATTAGGCTCTGAATATCATTAGTTACTTTTGAAACTTTAGGCCCAACAGTGTAAAGTGCATCTAATACACAGACTATGCACAGTAGTAGAAAAAAGATCTAGGGTAAATTTTCAGAAGTGCATAAGTGGTTTAGAAATCTGTGTCCCATTTTCAGAACTGACATAGGCACTTGAGAACCTAAATCCCACTGAGCTCCTAAGTTCCTAAATCGGTTTTGAAAATAGGATTTAGGCTCCTAAGTCAGTTCAACTAGGGATAAAATTTTCAAAAGTCTTTATCTTTCCTATATAGATATGCTATTTAAGTGCTTTCTTTGGTTACCCATCAAATATCTACACCAAATATGTTATGACATTTGATACCAATATATTTGATGTAGCAGTAAATATTAAAACAGCAACTTTTGAATGAAACTTCACTTGTTTCTTATAACAGTGAAAATGCTATAGTGTCAAAAAACAGGCATTTGAGAGGAAAATAGTGCTGTTGGGGAATGCTCAGTTGGTGGACTGTAGAGAAAGAGAGGCTCCTATTTGCAGTTATGATAATTGATGGTAGAGGGAGCATTTCGTATGGAGAAGGTGAGCTGCAGTATTTCACTCTCTTGAGACTGAATTATTGTAACTTCTACATCCTACATTTGTCAGGCAAAGCCCATCACACTCCAGTCCATCTTGTATACAAACAGTCCTCCACCACTTGAACAGGACTAGCAATGATGATACAAGAGTAAATGTCTAGACTTGGCAGAATTTGATTTTTTTTTTTGTTTGTTTGTTTCTAAGTGTTTGGGTGGGGGGTTTGGCAGAAGCTCACCTGCAATAACAGAAGCTGAAGAATTTTATTTTGGAGGTGGCAGAGAATATAGTGGAGTGGAAGAGAAGGAGAAAGAAAGACTATTGCAGGAAGAAAGATCCAAGTGTAAGGGGACAAACTATAGGATGGCAAGGGTAGAGACCATATCAGTAATATTTATGCTTATCTTAATATTGCATCTGGTGCTTAGATACTGTAGTGCTTAGCATCTGATAAATGCACCATAGATAGATCTGTCACATAGCATATGCTGTTCTTGTATGAATACAGATCTCTCTGTAGCTGCAATTTCTGAAGAAAGTTGACCTGTACTATTTGTGAAACAACATACCTGACTGAGCAACAGATAATAAAGTTCTTGGCACAAGATAAGAGTATTACAGTAGGTAGATTATGACTGACAGAATTCTGTGTGTGTGTATAAATTATTCAAAATATTTCAAACAAGTTGTATTCAAGTTCATACTTTGTAGATGTGTTTGCTAAAAGAGCCAAAAAGTTGCACTAATTGAAAGCTCATTTGGACTTGACTAGCAAAACAAAATTACTAATGAAATCCTGAACTAAACTAAAATACTTGTGTGTTCTTTAGAAATACACTTACCATAACTTGCAGTGAAAAATAATACATCATTTAATGGAACTTTGTGTTTGAGCAAAAATTGTATTTTACAAAAGGTATATGTGCTATTAATTGATTTTATATCTCTATATCTGTGGATCTATTGATAAATATAAAATCAATTAAGAGTGCATATATCATTTTTTTAAATAAAATGCATTTTATATTGCCTCATGTGATTTACAGGATTTGTTCTCTGCTTAATCTCCAGTATTACTCTCAGCATCCAGTCTGACATAACAGTTATACCAGCTGTAACTCACATCCCACTGATTCTGTTTTGAGCTGTAGATGCAAAAACCAACCACACCAGTCCCTGTGGCTCCCTAATTTGATAGTTTCCAACTCAAATGTTATAATAAAACTACCTCCTGAAAGATGCCACAGCATCAAACTGGATTTTCTTGACATCTCTTCGCGTCATTGTTTCTGATCTTATCACAAGAATTCCCTTGTAACGGTAGATGGTGGAAAACAAACACAGGCTGATACATAGCATCAATTTTTAAAATTTGGGTTCTCTGCTCTAAAAATGCACATGAACAGGCCATTGCATATGCAAATACTGTATTTGCATGCAAACTGGTATTTCCACATGCAGCGACCTGTGTGTACATATAAATATGTTGTTTGCACAAACAATTTATGTGGGCATGCAAAGCTTTTGTATGGTTGAAGATCTGAGTTTTAAAATATTAGACAGTTATGTTAGAACAAGTGTATAAATAAATATCACGAATGTTAGAAGTGGTAATCTTAACTCTGAACCTGTTTTTTTTTCTTTTAGTTTGTCAGTTCTATATTGTAGCATAGCCACTTATACTTATGTGGAATAAGTGTCTTGCAGAATACGTGTTTGTATTCCAATATTACATTATATTGGTTTGTTTCCTAACAAAATCCTTAAAAAAATCTTTATAACTACAAAATATGTCTAAATCTATCTTATTGTTTCATTAAGGTCCTGGTATTGACAACAGGACATCTTCACCACAGGATAATTCTTTTCCATGGGACGATTCAATCTTCAATATATCCATACATGCTGCAATTCGACATGGAAAGTGGAAACTACTAACTGGGTATCCAGGTAATGAAATTATCTTTTTTTTTCCCCTAGAGGTTTACCTTCGCTGCCAGTTCATCCCATTTCATATGTAATAAACTTTGCATTTCCGTAATTTACTCTCTTTCTCAACTTTCATGATTTACTATGTAAAAACTAGGAGGGAGGAGCCTTGTTTAAAAGTAGGCAAATATTTACAATGTATTTCCTGAAGTCATGGTTTTTGAATCTGTGTTTGTGCTCACATTGCAGTGAGAAAACCAGATTCCTGGAGGCAACTTCAGTTGAATTTCTTTGAAATTAAACAAGTCATATTAAACACCAAATCCCAAGTATGAGGCTACTCTTTCCCTGGGTGTCTGAGATCTAATCCCTTATCTGCTCCTATTTCTGTAGGCTGCAGCCACTGGTTCCCACCACCACCTTTGTTCAGTGAATCAAAGATTCTATCATCTGACCCACCAACAAAGAAACTTTGGCTTTTTGATGTTGTTAAAGATGCTGAGGAGAGAAACGACTTGTCTGAAAAATATCCTGGCGTTGTGAAAAAACTGCTCTCCCGGCTGCAGTACTACTATAAACACTCTGTGCCTGTGTTCTACCCTGACGATGACCCCCGTTGTGACCCAGGAGAAACTGGAGCCTGGGGGCCTTGGATGTAGACTACTACATTTGCAACCTGAAAATTGCGGACTCAGGGTTCTAGTCATATATTTTGACCTCATTTCTTTTACCCTTTTAACTGTGATTTCATCCCTGGGGTTATTCAAATCTGCTGCTTCTTAAGCAGTATTGGGGATCTAATGTCACCCCCTGATTGTACTAGAAACACAGTTAAAATCATAAATCTCTCATTTTCGTGTTCTTTGTCCGTTATATGTCTTTAAAATGGAGGGTCAAAGCTGCTGGCCAGCTGGGAAATATTACTTCACTTAGAAAGTTCTAATGAGTCACAGAGGCAAGGTTATCCAATTCTTTCATAGTTAAAGTCACATGTTTGATTTCATGCTTGCCAGTGGCCAGATCTTATAGGAGGCTAACACACAGGTTTTAAAAAAAAAAAAAAAAAGGAAGAGAGAGAAGCCAGTTTTTGAGTTCAGCTGTCATTACATTTTCTCAGCTTTGCCGTACAAATCTGTCCAGTAATGGATGCATTCAGAAATCTCTTGTGTAAAAGCCTCCTCCCACTGGGCAACAAAAGATCTAGCTATACACATGTCCACTGCTGACATATGGTTAGAGCATTGGTTTGATTTTTTGCCCACCTCGGCTGTGAGTACCAACTCTTTAGGGCTTTTGTGCCTTTGTTATCACAGCAGAGACTGCCTTCATCTAATAGCTTTTGGCCATCCCTTCATTTTGCATTGCCTTTTTCAATTCATTTCTTTTGTCTTGTGCTTCGCAGTGCAGTTTTGAATTCTTGTGCAGGAGATTCAAGCACTTTTCTTTGCCAGCTAAAGCACAATGTGGAGGTTGCAAGTGATGGCAGTACTGCTTCATCTATCTGGTGGCTATTGCATCAGCTTCACAAAGCTCCCAACTTCTGCTAATATCTCTTGAAGACCTTTTCTATTACATATCCCTTCTCTAAGGGCATTGCCAGTTATCTGTTTTGTACTGATGTAGTGTTTCAAACTGGTGTTTTAGAGACCACTTTTAACTTTTCCATTAAAATTAGAGTTTTAATTTTTAGGTTCTAAGGGTTTTTTTGTTGAGATTAATGATGTTTCTTGAGAAGCGTGAGTGTCTAAACAATTGATTAAGAGAGGAGAGGAGAAGTATTGCTGTACCCCATATATTTTATTTTTTAGAGGAGTTGTAGCTGTGTTGGTCCCAAGATATTAGAGAGACAAGGCAATATATTTTATTAGACCAACTTCTGTTGGTGAAAGGCAAGCTTTTGAGGTCAGTGTAAGGTCGAAAGCTTGTCTCTTTCATCAACAGCAGTTGGTCTAATAAAAGACATTACCTCACCCACCTTGTCTCTCTAGTTTTTGGAGATACTATTTCCATTTGTTATAATTCATTAATTATACATCTGGGGAAAGAAATAAAATACTTCTTATTAAAGGAAGCCTCTATGTTCATAGAATATCAGGGTTGGAAGGGACCTCGGGAGGTCATCTAGTCTAACCCCCTGTGCAAAGCAGGACCAATCCCCAATTTTTCGCTGCAGATCCCTAAATGGCCCCCTCAAGGTTTGAACTCACAACCCTGGGTTAAGCAAGCCAATGCTCAAACCACGGAGCTATCCCTCCCCAGCTAGCAAAGGTTCCACCTATTTGGCTCTTATTTCCACATTTCAGTCAGGGCTTGTTGGTCAGTTTATCTTTCTGGAGATCATAACACCTCATTAACAGAACACAAGGGAAAGAATCTAAGATATTTTCATTATTATCACTTTTAAGGTTTCTTTTCCCCAAAGATATCCTTAGGACTCTGACTACAAAAGTGTGTAAGACTAAAAAAACCCACTACTTTCAGCTCTCAGACAACAGCCACTTTTGACATGTACAGATGTCATCCTGACAGCTTTAGAGCTGACTGCAGGACTGCCACTCACACTCATGATACCATGAAAATAGATGATGAATTAATGGGGGGGGAAAACTGACTTGTCTGAATTTTCTTATCAGTTATGCTATCTATCCCCTAGTTTAAAAGGATTAAAGTCTGTATAGCCTCAGTTGCAGAATTAAATATAATTGTTGCATGTTTGTTCTCCTTCCCTCCCTATTCCACAATCTACACTGTTACATCATGCTGATATGACTCCACCTACCAGGAAGAAGGAGGTAAGCAACTGTCAGTCACTCAGCCTTCCGCTATTGTCCTCACTGTTTTCAATCTAAGACTTCTATTTTATTTTAAAATCTTGAAATTCATCATTTACTCAGCTATTATTTCAGATAAAAATATCCTACACTATTTTTTTCTTTTGGTTGATTCCTCTTAAAGCCTTCAAGTTGACCTGACTTAGGGGGGAAGAAACTGGCTATCATATTCAAGCTGGCGGCAGCAAAGGAAAAGAATTTTCAACTCTCCATTGAGCTGTTTCATTTCTCGAAGGGCAGATTTCTTTCTACATGTTGTGGTTTCTTGAGTAACAATCAAAAATACAAGCATCATGATCCCTCAGAAGAAAACTTCATTTCATCGCCTTCCAAGCCTTCCAATCCTTGCTTGATCCAACAAAACTCTATAAATGTTTCAAAATTGAAAGGCGCTTTTTTGACACATTAAAAATAATTATAACATTTTAGAAAAGCAATTGCACTTCAGGAAATGTGGTTATGCTGGATACCCACGATTGTGCATTACTACTTACTTAAAGAGATATAAGATGAAGGATGGGCAAGGCCCAGGACGAGGAAAAGAACTTGGGAGATCTGGATCCTATTCTTGAGTCTATGGTCCCAGGCTCCTCTGGGAACAATCTGCTTAGAGTAGAGGAAACTCTGATATTTTTTTTTAAATGGACTTTTCTAGGAATTCTTTAAATAGGGCTGGAAGGAAGCCTTCTGCTTACTTCTCAAAATTTCATCGCAGAAAAAGCTAGGATTTTAGCCATCAAGATCTGCATAGATTTGGACATCCACTAGCGATCCATGTTGACTCAATTCTGCCCCTGGGATTCTCTGCTCCCTGTCTTGCTCCTTGGTAGTACAGCTCCATAGAAGTCATGCTACCATGGATGCTTCCACTCGTTACTCTCCTTAAAACCCTCCCACTCTGTTCTTTATTGGGGAACCTACCAGCCTTTGACGTTTATGAAGAGAATCCTGTTGCACCAGTGCAACTCCATTCCAGGCTTGTCTTTAAGTACCTGCAGGGTACTCTTCCCAGGACAGGGGGCATTATCACTGAAGGGGAGGAAGTGATCTCAGGGAAGGAATCTGGGTGAGCTGCAGAGTAGGGTATGTAGGCCATTTATGCAGTCGTGCCAGCCATGTTTGTAGTCCTGGGTACTGGCAAGACCACCTGGGAAATAAACGTGTGTGTATATAAACAGCAGAGACACCAGAGAGACTTGGAAGGAGCTGGGCTCCTAAGGCAAAACAACAACAACAAAAAAGGGATACATGAAAATGACACTACATGGCACGTGGAGAAACTGTGTAGGACTGTGTGGATATCTATCTTCAAATGAGATATAGTCTGTAATGGAAACATACTGCCTTGTGAACTGAAAGAGTTTTACTGGAAGAAAAAGCAAGTTTAAGATGTGGCATAGTTTGGGAAGTGCTGATCAGTCAGTTTTTTTTAAACAGTTTTCAAACTGACTGTACATATCAAAACCACTGCTCTATCAACTTATTGCAAACAGTTCACATGGAATGCTGCAAACAGTCAATGGAATTTATAATAAGAGATACAGATTTGGATGTCAGATGTTCAAAGTTATATTTGGAGATATTGCTTATATAGTTTAGAGAGGAAATTGGGCCCCCAAAATGCATTGCATCCCCCTGTCTGGTGCTTCTAGATGTAATCTTGCACTGCTACACAATGCATATCTGAGATCATGCAGACAGATTAGCACTGCTACAGAGCACAGCGAAAAAGATTTTGGCACAGGATAATCAAAACGATTCAGTTATCCAATCATAGACTAGTACAGTAACAGCTTCTTTGATAATTACATACTGTGGTTAGCTGAAGCCAACAAGATGATGCATTGTTTTCATTGTGCTGGTCTTCCCTGCTGCCAGTGTTCTAAAAACTGAACATCTGCTGCAATCAGCAAACCAACTCCCAATTGCTGGTCCCTTTTCTTTTGGCTGAACTCAATGGCAACAAAAGCTGGTATATTTTGTCTGCAGAGCTATACTTAGAAGCAGTGCAGTCAAAAAGAATCACTGGATTTCGTTTTAGGGAACACAGTGCTCGTATGGCCCTGTCTTCAAATCCATAACAAGTTACTGCAGCAAAGCCACAGTTCTGTGCTGACAAATTCTGGTATCCTGGATAGTGGTAAAAATACAGAATTGCTTTTTGTTATAGTACTTTTCATTCTCAAGATTTCGTGAAGTGCTGTGTAAAGCAATGAGTTAGAGTTCAGTGACTGTGAAAACAAACTAAGCAGGTGTAGTAGTACCTCACATACAATCTTGGGCATAGATCCTGTTTTAATGAGTGAAGGAACTTTGGCTAGGAAACCAAAAAGTATCATGGGATTTTAACTTCTTTCTGGAATGCCACTTGAAAATGAGCATTAGAGTACTGAATTAATGATTCATCGAAATGATGGTCCTTCTAAAAGTGCAGCATCCACTTCTAGTACAATATACATCTCTTACTACTGGGGGAATTCTGTGCCGAAAAATTAAAAATTCTGTGGATAATATTTTAAAATTCTGCATATTTTATTTGTCAAAATAACAATATAATTATGCCAGTTTCAATTATTTTGGTAATTTATTTCAAAATGCCTGTCAGCAAGTATGTCTGTAACAATACAGACAACAAAAAAAGATTCAGGAAATGGCAGGAAATGTTTTTTGACCAATAGATTCCTTACTAGGCATATTAATACAGACCTTTGAGAAATAATTCATTTAAGCTACAATACAGATACGTACTTCCTGCACCCCTCAGAAGCAGTACAAAGGCTTGGGGGAGTCGGGGTAATGGAGGAGCTGAGGGAGAGGGAAATAATTGCTTGGAACATATAAGCCAGTTGAAAAGACACAACCTTTGGCTGAGTAAAATACTGAAGTTTATATAATGTCCAAGTTTAATTAAAAACATCCCAACTGGATTTTCTTTGAATGAAAGTGGAGAAAACTGAATGGTAAGATATGGACAATTGTATTTTTTCATTTATGTTTGCAGTAGAAACAAGTGCCCCCTGAAGGAACATTT